CCCAATATAGCCCCAACATATTATAGTAGTTTCCATTTTATTTTCCATTATCCTTATATAACCCTGAGAGCCGCCTCAGAGCCCTCCACCTCAATCCAGAAATCCAAAGCTCTGTGCCGTCAGGTCTAATCCTCCAAACCAAATCCTTGCCTTAGCTCCCAAACCCTTGCGTCCTATGCCCTTCGCCCTGTGCTTGGGATGACTTCCAAGAGAAGGCCTTGGGTCGTTTAAAAAACAATCACTCTGATGGGTATCGAAGTAGCCACCCGGTCGATAGTCGTCGTCACATAATACGAGCGTGGATAATGCGAGGGCGCACTTGATTGCAATTTGGAATTTAGTGCTTCGGTTACTATGAACTAGGTGGCCTGATCTCAGGCCATCAAACCAGACAGACCTTGCTTGTGGTTTTGGGCCCTCCTTTTGAATTAAACAAACCCGATCCCAAATCTAGGGCAGCTTTAGGGTCAGGTCCCATGCCTCCCAATCTACGGGCTATTTAACACCTGCACCCCATACATGGATGCAAAGGGTTATTTCCAACCAGCAAAACAACAAGAGGCCCCCCCCTATCTGGTCACGTTTGCTAATTTTCCACGCTTGGACATACCTGGACCCTGGATGTCCTTCCTTTTTGGGGTTCTGTCCTACAAATTTATAGGGTATATCCCCAAAAAGGTAGGACATCCAGGGTCCAGGTAAGGGAGGTAGCTCTAGGCAGGGATCTTTTTTCTGTTGCATCGGCAGTGTCAAGCCCCAAGGGGTGACCATGGGTTGCAAGACTCTAAATGCGGTTAAAGACAATGGAAACTACTATAATATATTGGGGTTATATTGGGATAATGGAAAAGAAAATGGAAACTACTATAATATGTTGGGGTTATACCCTAAACCCAAAAACCCTAAACCCTAAACCACGCAACCCCACATAGGCAGCCGATGCTCGGAGACCCCCTGTGCGGTGCGATGCTTCTGTATTGGTGGAATTTTAAGCTCCAAATTCTAAATCCGCTACTTTGGAAGGCTCGAAAAGCCCAATACTCGTTGCTTGGTGGGCACTTCTCACAGTCAGGGTCACCTTATCTGCGCCCGGACACGCTACAGTCAAGATCTTCAGGAGTCTCAAAAAAAGACCTGTATCGAGAAGCTCCTACTTCCTCCGCTCAAGCACTTGTGGGTGCAATGTCTTTCGTAAACAAAACTTTCAGGCGTTGAGGGGCCAGATTCTACCAGCTGGAATCACAGGGTATATACGGCTCACTGCGCTTGGCAACCGTTTGCGAGACTGCTTGTTTAAAACTCGTGGGCATACAGTGTACGACCTCAGTGATGAACCCACGACTTTAGATAGGTTTGAGGTCAGGTTTGATCTAGCAAAACTTCAGGCGTACCTAGATTGATGCGATCAGGGTTTGAGGTCGCAGGAGCCCTAAAGTCACAAACCGTGTAAAAGCTCAGAAACGTGGTCCCATGTGGTGGGAACCCACGAAGGGCAAACAGTCCGTGTAGTCTAGACATCTTTTTCAAATCATATAGTCCTCTCACCTAGCCACTATATGTCTTTTTGCTGAGGGGTGAGGACTGAGCACAGGTACTCTACTGGAAGCATCTCTAATAGGATTCTTATAGGGATCCAATCCCTGTCTTCCCGCACCAGTAAGTCAACCTGATGATGTAGTATTCGGGCTGCATCCCTCTCCACCAAAGGCACATGCACGTGGACCGCCAGGCCCGCTTTGGGAGTGGGCTTATTTGGACTCGGATGCCCTACCTCTTTGGGCTGCACGTACCCTATCAGAACATGGGACACAACCCCACAGAGCAAGGACATACAGGGCCAGGTAGGATTGGTTCCGGGGCTTTGGTTTATGGCTTGTATAGTTTAACTGTACGTATATTACGAGAAGAGGAAGCGCATAAAAAGTCGTCTGATAGTGGTGCCTAACCTGAACACTACTGTAGACTGAAGTTGAACTCGTGCAGACATCCTTTGTTAGGCGCGTGTGTTCTGATCCCTCAACCCTATGCCCGAAGATGAGCCCTCGAAAACATCCAAGTCCTTACCCTAGCGCGCGGCCGCTTAACAGTTTGAACTTCAGAGCACGCCGTACTCCCGGCCAAAGCAGCATGGACCCCTCCCTAAGGCCTAAACAGCATTCTTCCAAAGGTCCATGCCGCTTTCGGCTTGGGCCAGGATAGGTCCGGGATTTGCAGTTCAAGGTGTAGGGGTATCCCTAAACCCTAAACCTTAAACCCCAAACCCTACCCCCATGCTCTGCTTTAATGCTGGCAAAAAGACTCTGCATGCCTTCAAACCTTGGCTTCAGCGAGGTTTAGAGTTGAAGGTCTATAGGCTTTAGGGTTCTGGTTTAGGGTTCAGGGTCTATAGGCTGTAGGCGTTCGGGGTTTGAGGGTGTAGGCTTTAGGGTTTTAGGGTTTGGGTCTATAGGATTTAGGATTCTGGGGCTAGGGTTTAGGGTCATCCATGTTCTTTTCCGTTTCAATCTCCACTATAATCTACAAGGTTCCTGAAAATATTTGTTAATTTCTGTTACCAACAATCCTAATATTTAGCTGAAAATATAATTTCTACTGGGGTTCCAAATCCCTTAGAGTAATGTTGTCCCTGTAAGCCTACACTGTGTGACAGCAGGAGACGCACGTGATCTCGGCTATCCTTGAGGTGCAGCATCTTCTTATGAAGGAGCTTTAGGGTCTAGGGTTTAGGGGTTTAGGGGTATAGGGTTTAGGGTTTAGGGTTCATATTCCGGAGCCCCACATACCTTCCTTTCGCATAGTAGTTTGGCCCCTTTTCGGCTTTCATGCTAGTTTTGGTGGGTGGATGGGGGTGGGGGGGTAATTTGTGTGGTTGAGAGGTTGCCAAAAGGCCCTCATTCAGAAGTGCATTGTGAAGTAGCTGAACAAAAAGCACACACGACGCATTCCTGTGAGAGCCCTTGCGGATGCTTGTGCGCGCTTGCGGACACAAATTCATCAGCTTCACATTCTGTAACTATACCCCAGACCCCCAGCACTTAAAACAAGAACACGTTCTTCTTTGTATACGCACAGGAGGATCTAAAACCAGAGGAAAAGATGTTGAAGCGTTTGGTCACGATGGAACCTGGTTCTGCTTGCGACCCTAAATCCTTAACCCAGAAAAGCTATGCAAAGCCTGCATCCTGAATCCTTCGCTCTGAGCCGTACCTGCGCCCCAAATACATTTATGTGCGCATAATTTTCTTGACTGCGTCCATGAGTCGGGAGCTGGCAATTTACACGCTTTCGGGGTGAGCTACTTCCTGCTTGCGCAGGACCAAGATCCAAAGACATCCTGGCCGTTGCGGATCTTCGATCACTCTAGCTCCTTGACTTTTCAAATAATTGGGTTGCTGCTGAGGAAATTAGTTTAAGTTACTCTATTAGGGAAACCAGAAATTACATATACCCTTATGTTTCTTAACAGCCGACCAGAAAATGGGGACCGTCAGGGACACTCGGGATGACATTCGAAATCTTGAGGGTACTGTAGCGTGGAGTCCCCTGCGCGGGGGTTTAGAGTTTAGGGGTTTATGTTACAGCTTTGAATTGTTTGGGGCTTGCACTCACCCAATTTAGCATGGAACCTCGTATAGCCCGAATCTTGAAGGGGCTCTCGTCCGTGTAGGCCCCTTGTTGGGGTTCAATGTTCCGGGGAGGACTGGGCTTAAGGGCTAACCCCTTCCTACACTTGCCTCCTAAGATCCCCTAAAATTGGGCTGCTTGAGGGTAATCAGCACTAGAGGAACCTAGCGGGCGTGTTAGGGGAACCCTTCTGCGTCACAAGCAGATACCCTGCCTGCCGGCACCATGCCAAGGCAGTGAGCACCTTATCCCGAACAAGCCGGGCCAGTGACTTAGCAGAATTATTTTCTTGTACCGCTTGTCGCTTGTAGCAGTCCCATGGAGAGGTATTTCAGGATAGTATAGTTCCCAATACAGAGAGGGTCCGTCTACTCAGACTGCGAATTCTTGGATATACCAGTGAGGTTGTCCGCATGGTTCGCCCCTGAACCCGGAGGTTCTGGCTTTAGGCTTTGTATCTTGGGCTCTGGGCCCTAAATTTTCATTTCTAGACCTTAAGCCAATGCCCTTCGAACTTTGGTGAGGCTCATCTTGCCACATGCTACTAGAGACATGGGAGATGCGCAAACTATGTCTTCACGTCCGGTGATCCCATTGCAATGCCGCAATATGGCGGACCCCGCTTTTTTTTTTAAGCCAGACATACTTAGCTGAAGAGTTGGCCCGAGATACCACTATAGACCCTAAGCCCTCATCCGTAAAACCGAATCCCTAAATCCTAAACTCGGAATCCTAAATCCTAAGCACTAAGTTCCACACCGTTAGTAAGTGACTCCTACACCTTAAGCGCTAAACCCTAGAGAGGATGATCCTCTACGAGTCTTCCACCTGCCCCCACGGACGACCAGATCCTTTCCTTGGACGTGACGCTTGGCTCCTTTGTTTAGGTGTTTTGGGCTGTGGTTTGTAACCCTAGACCCTGAACCTAAACTTGATCAATCTGCTGCATGTTTCCTGTAATCCCCCTATAGTCCCCCTGAAGTAGATAGAATATGGGGTATATGGGGATCTTATGCTAAACCCTCTAAACCCTCCTTTGTCTAGGGCTTCGGTGGTTTTAGATGGAAGGTGTAAGGATTTCAACTTCAGGGTTTAGGATTTAGGGCTTTACATGTTTGGGGTATTTGCTTTTTCTATTAATGGCAGGAGAACCCCTATGCAATTCCTATATATCGAAAGTTTCCTAAAAAAACAATCATAGCAACAGGTCATCAAGAAAAAAACGATTTGGGTTCCCAAATGACTCTGATAGGGTGGTCAGTATTGGGGCAGGGCTTCCAAAATCTCGTGCATGTGTAGCTTTTCCAGAATTAGAAGCTTTTTGTCGGGAATGCAACTGAAACTTTGCACAATTGTGAGAAGCATGCTGCCCCGAGAGTAAAAGACACCATTAAGAATACTGTGTAAGGAGAACTACAATATTTTGACGTGTTTAAGGCTGACTTCTACTGTCTTCTTGAAATATCAGTTTAGGCGTTTGGCTTTGGAGCTTGAGGGTTTAGGGCTTAGAGTTGTAGACTTGTGGCTTGAGGGTTTCAGCGGCTTGGAGTTTGAGGGTCTGGGGCTTTAGCTTGTGCAGCATGTGTTACGGGTGTAGTGATCCAGTCTTCAAGGGCTTGGGGTCTAGGATGTGTAGGGCGAGGCCAAGTCTTTTTGATTTCAGAGACCTAAACCCTGGATCGCGTTTGGGAGTTCGTCATCCTCTGGCTCTTCCAATTTGTTTGTTTGAACGTTCTCTTGCCCTGCAGCAAGTAAACTGGTTCTGAGAAAGCCTAAACTATGGTGTAGGTCGTCATAAGCATGACTCCCAAACTGCTTTAAGCCCAGAGGGTCCACGTACCCAATAATTAAGTACTTGGGATTTGGGTAATAGTAATTCTAGTACAGGTTTTGCGCAAGTATATGATGATTAGGTACTTGGACCCTTAGGGAAGGTTTTAGAGTTCAGGTTGAGCGCGACGGCACCACAGTCCACGGCCCTGAGGTTGATCTAAAGCTTCATCCACCTCATAGTACTTGAGGGGAGTGGGGAGCGACTACTGGTACAAAAAAGGTAAAACATGTGTGTATATACATATATATATATACGCATATGGATATATATATACATATACATATATGTATATAGATGGGGTTCTACAGATATAATAAAATCTATCCGCTCCCCCAATCTCCTTCGGCACCAGTAAGTTTTACCGCTGGTCGGCATCACGGTCGAAGGCAACTACATCAGGGCGGCTACTATGCACAGAGCTTAGAGTGTAGGGTTTAGGGGCTCTGCCACCCATGTGTAGTTCCCCTGATCTACAGTCGTGTCTACAACCTCACAACTCCAGCGATTTTTCTCACGCCAAAATTTAATGGCGATTAGCAAGGAATGAAGGGATGGAAGACAAAGTTGAAACTGCTATACTAATTGCAATTTGCAGATTAGGGTGTAATTAATTATACGGCTTATAGTGCTAGGTGCCATTGAAGGAATGGGTACTTACAAGGGGGCATGGCCTTCATGTATGGAGGCACTTTCGATCCCGTACCAATCACTGGCGAGTATCAAACCCTAAACATTCAAATCACATGAGTAGTATTTTATTTGGGGATACTATGATACGCATTATAGAGTAAGATTATATCCTCCTTTTAGGGTATAGTATTTTATATACGGAATATAATCCTACTGGGTTCAACCACCAAAAAAACGCTAAGGTTCCAGAACCAGGCTGCACCTTTTGGCCTCATGTAGACCCGTGATTAATAAACCCCTTTCCCTTAATAGGAATTATAACAGGGATCCTAATATTAAGGCCCGTAAAGGGAGGGGACTTATTAATCAGGGGTCTACATTACTTCTGACTTCCGAAGAGAGCTTGGAGTTCAAGAGCATGAGAAAGTGGGAGGATAGAAGCGCGATGTTGAGACATGTCCATGTAGTCATAGTCCCCCCTTATCTAGATAGATAGAATATGGGGGATCTGATTATAATCTACCCAAAGCCATATTCTATCTACTTAAAGGGGGACTATATCCCTAAACCCTAAAAAGTAGCTTCCATTTTCTTTTCCATTATCCCAATAGAACCCCAATATAACCCCTCAATGGGTACCCCAATATACCTATTCTATCTAATTAAGGGGGACTATAGGAGATGGCAAACGTGTTCGTGGCTTGGCTGCACTGCTGCTATGCTTAATTCTCGAGCGGCAAAATCTCCAAGCAGGCTGCACCTGGAAAGCCGGTCCCCATCATAGCGGTTATTCTACATAATAGAGAGAGAGAGAGGGAGATATATACATATATATATATATAGGTATGGGTTGATGTTGGGTTCCCAATTGTTGGGGAAGCTGCCATACCTAAATCCTCAACCGTGCAAGTAGGGTGTAGAATTCAAACTTATAAGGTCCCTTGTAATTATTTTTGTAGATTCGTAGTCTGCCAAGGCCAGGTTACACGAAATCACGGGCTGCCTCACTTTCAAAACTGGGGAAGCAGTTACGAACAGAATAGTCGAATGGTGTGAAACCTAATAATGGGGAGTACTACACTTTAAGACGTTTTTTTGGTTTCAGGGATCATATTATAACGACTTATACCCAACAAGTTTGTTTTTTTCTAAGGTGTACTCCAAACTAGGGGAAAGGTAATGCGAAAGGTAATGCTCCAAACGGCAAGATTTGGGTCTTAAAGCTTAGGCTGCCTGGGTTGCAAGATGTGCGAATTTGGGATGTAAAAGGGTTTAGGGTTTAGGGTATAAGGTTTGACGGTTCAGGTGATGTAGAACTTCAGGATTTTGAGGCATGAGGGGTCAGGGGATGTGGGATGTCAAGTTTCAGGCTTGAAGGTTTAAGACATGCTGTAGGATTCGAGATTTGAGGGGTTGAAGTCCTAAGACCTGGACCTTAAACCCTAAACTCTTGGAAGGGTTCATGTCCTGAGGTCCCCTGAGCTTTGTTGGGAGTTACCTGCATCTATACTCTCCAGGTTCATAAAGCAGCTCCTCTTTGTTACCCAGTCTGGGTTGCTTCTAATGTATTTATATGTTATATGGATGTACAGTACATACCATGTTTTTCTCATAATGGTAACTTTGTTCATGCTCGTTCACAGGCTGGTGTTATCATCTTTGCACAGGATTCTACGTGATGAGCTCCACGCTCTAAACTATTTAATAGAGGGGTTCCAGTGAAGGACTAGACCTTCGACCCTAAGCTCACGGGTTCTCCTAACCACCCCCCCGAGGCAACCTTCCCCCTTAAGATTCTCACACAGCCCCGAAATCTTAACCTTCAACCGGAGATAAGCTGCGAAACGTAAGCCTCAGAACCCTAAAGCCCTAAAACCCTGAAACCCCACGCCAATCCCCTCCCCAAATTTTGAACCTATCAGGCTTTCTTAAGACGTATATAGTTCTCCTTAGCCCCTAAGCCCTGGGGCCCCAGCCCCAAACCGTAAACCCCAAACCCAAGTCCTAAACCCCAAACCCTAGACCCAAACCCGAAACCAACCCAAAACCAGAAGAAAACAAAAAACAGCAACAACAACCCTAAACCCTAAGCCCTAAACTCCAAAACCATAAGCCCCAAACTGCAAAATCCTAATCCCTACACCCTACCTGGACCCTGGATGTCCTACCTTTTTGGGGATATACCCTATAAATTTGTAGGACAGAACCCCAAAAAGGAAGGACATCCAGGGTCCAGGTAAGCCCAGGTTCACTTCAAGCCCCGCGGCTGGCCCAAAGTGGACGGCCTGCGGATGCGGTCAAGTGAGGATGCCTCACTCACGCAGTTTAGGGTTCAGGGTTTAAGGTTTATAGTTTAGGGTTTAGGGTTTAGGTCTAGGTTTTGGGGTTATACGGTAAGGGTTCAGGGTTTAAGGTTTATAGTCTGGGGTTTAAGGTCCATGGGTTTAAGGCCTACAGTTCAGGTTCATGGTCTATAGTACTTAGGTTTTAGGGTTATAGGGGTTCAGGGTTTAGGGTTTACAGTTTAGGTTTTATGGTCCATGGGTTTAGGTTTTAGGGGTTTAGGGGCTTAGTGTCTGAGGTTTATAGGGTTTAGGGTTTTAGGGGCTGAGGGTTTAAGGTCTAGTAGGGTTTAGTGTTTACGGTCTAATCGCTTAGGGTTAAAGGTCTAGGGTTCAAGTTTTAGGTTTTACGGTTATAGGGCTTCTCTCTTCGGGCTCTGAAGACCCTGTAGAGGGGCTATACAGGGATATATGGGGGTTATGTAGCTGTATATAAAGGGTTTGGGCTTCGGAGATGGACGCGTGAATCTGTCCCAATAACGGGGAATGAACTGGCAACGAGCATGAAGATGGAATGGGCGTTGTGATTGTGTCGTGGTTCACGGGCTGTTTTATGTAGGGTTTATTTGCTCGCCACCAACATGACAGTCCTAGGAACCTTGTACGATGATGGTATAGGGCCTTGTAGCAGGGTTTTCAGAATCCCCAGAGCAAAGTCGCGGTTTAGGGTTTAGGGATATCTACTTGAGTAGTATTTTATTCAAAGTCGCGGTTTAGGGTTTAGGGATATCTACTTGAGTAGTATTTTATTTGGATATACTATGGTACCCATTATAGACTAAGATCATATCCTTGTTTTGGGTATAATAATTCATATAAGGAATATAATCTTACTAGGTTCGCCCACCAAAAAAAACACTACTGACTTCAGGCTGTCAAGTCTCTGAACGGTATCTACCTTCTAGCTACTTGAATACTCGGGGGACAGGATTCGTTTTTGTCGGTGATGGGTGGGTGCATGATTTAGGTTGGAGTGTTCAGGGTGTAGGTAAATCCTTAAACCCTAAACCGTAACCCTCGAAATCTAAGGCCTCCCGGACTGCCTGCCTGCAGGGTTCATTGTAAAGGACTTAACTTCAAGGACAATTTGGGGGTTATATAGGGCTATAGAAGGGTTATATTGGGATAATGGAAAATGAAATGGAAACTAGTACAGGAAAGATTTAGGGTTAAGATCCAGAGTTCACAGATCTGTGATTATGCGCTCCTTCAGATGGAAGTAGCAGTCGTATGCATCCAATTTTAAGGTTCTACTGCCTGGGACTGCTTAGATACGCGAGGAACTCTGACAAAGCTGGGATAAGAAGGGAGATGGATGAACGATGTGAAGGCCTGTAGGAATTGCAGGGGATTCTACGCATAAACGTGGAGGTGTACTTGGAGGCGTTTAAACGCTGGAGTCTTTCCAAAAAAGTGCTTTTGTTAGTGTGTCTGACTAGTATGGATCTTACTTGGGGGCGGGTATTGAGGGGCAATGCATAACCTTCAATGACAAAACGTGCATTTCGCTATGAGGTTTTGTAATGGGGGCGCGGTAAAATGCAGCGGGTCGCACCATATTTTGTAACTCTAAATTGCAAATCCTGAATGGGTGTTTTCAACATCCATGACCCCAGGACACCTCAAAATGCTACACTCCTTTCCGGATAGAGGAACCCATCAATTCAAGCGGCGTTTAAGGCTCAGAGGCCAAAATAACAGAGATTAAAGTCTGTGCAGGAATGTGCCAGCGCGCTGAACGGCGACAGAGCATCTTGCACGACCTAGCGCCTTGCTTTACGAAGTTTAGGGTTAAGGGTTGGGTCTGAGTATGGTATAAAGTTACAGCTTATCGCTTATGGCTGATGGTCTTTGAGCTAAGGGGCGGTCTAGCATTGCGGGTTCAGGGTTTTAGGGCTATATAGGGCTTTCAAGCTTGACCCGTACACTTGTTACCCCACCGAAGACAATCGATTGCGTTTCTCAAATGCCTGCATCAGCAAAGCAACAAAGCACATGTGTGAGGAAACTTCGTTGTTTCTTCAGGAGTTTGGGCCACTTCCCTTGTAGAGTCCTTATGATTAATTCATAGCGACCCCTCCGTGTCAGCTTTTTGTAATCCTCACATATGCCTTTGCTGTCAAAATCTATTTGCTATCGAAGGCCACCTCGCAGAGACGGGGAGCGCTCCCTGTCAAACGACTCAGGCGAGTAAAAAGCTTTGCGCGGCATCCCGCGGCTTCAGGTCCAGAATCTAGGAAGTAGATATAGGAGTTATATTGAGATAATGGAAAAGAAAATGGAAACTACTATTTAGGGTTTAGGGTTTAGGGCTAATAGTGGCTGAGGCTGTAGGGTTTTGAAGTTAGAGATTTTTTGAGGGGTGGGGATTTGGGTCAGGGTTGGGGAGCGTGGGGTACATGGCATGCTAAAGGCGCTTTCATGCGACTATGCTTATCGAAGTCTGACTCCGTATACAGCTCAGGGTTACTTCCGGAAATTCCAAGCTTCGCCAACCTCAGCTATCAGTAAGATCTGCTATCATAGTGCGGCTGTGGTTCTAAGACTTCAGGCGAACTGATAACTTGCAGTGAAACTCTGAACCCAGAACCCTTCTACACCTGGAATGTCAAAATCTTCAAAGCCTGACCACTGGTGTCTAAGTCTAAAAATAATGCGCGGTATGGGAGCCTACAATTACCAATCTTGTGGTTCTAGTTTCCTTGCATGGTTATCCTACATATTCAAGGCACTTTAAATAGACCTCGGAACGATGTTCGTAATTATTATTTAGGCCTGTACATCACGCGGGGTCCGGATGTCTATAAACCCTAAACCCTACACCGTAGTTTCGGCCTAATTGGATCCCTAGTGTAATCTTTGCGGCCCGCAGTCTTGAGCCCTGGGCGTTCAAGTGCCTTGCTGTTAACTACGCTAAACCAAGTTACCATAATGCTTTAATTGGTCAATTTAGGGTTTAGGGTTTAAGGATCAATACATACATATCCTCTTTTTGGTACTTTTGGCTTGCGCTCCTTCTTGGCAACGGAGTCTGGCCTGAAATGCGAAACTTGGACATCTGAACTTCTCAAAGGACACGCTGCTGGCTGTTCCCAAGGTATGATGATAGTCCTAATCAAAAGCTGTCATTAACGACAGTAGTCAGGGGTAAGCAAGGGACACTTGGTGGAAACCCTAGAACCCTAAACCCTAAAACCTAAACGTTAAAACCTTAAACCTAAACCGAGTATTGGTGGTAGGTTCGGGCTACAGGGAGACCGCAGCAAGACGTCTGTCTGGCAGGAGTTGAGTCTAGCAAAAAACCACTTCATGCTCATCATACCTTAACTCCTACACTGTCCAGACAGGAGCTTGATGCAGACAACCTACTCCCTGAACACGAATGCAATGCTAAAAGCCCTAATGCAGGCCCATGATTAATAAACCCCTTCCTTTTAAGAGCTTAAACATTAGGATCCCATTATAAGCCCTATTAAGGGGAGGGGGTTTATTAATCAGGGAGGGGTCTACATTATAATTATTATCCCTATCTAGGGGATAATTATGGTACTGTCCATGTTCTCTTCCCATTCCTCGGGTCTACATTAACAACCAGTCAAAGGATGGAGTAGGGCAATCAACTCAGAACTCCTGATTGGCTTGAGATGCCGCCGCGTAGTCTCCACGACTCTTCAGGGAATATTGCTTTGCAAAGGCTGTGTTTCTAGCATTCCTAAAGTGCAATCTATGGACAACCTGAAGTATTGGTATGTACCGTCCCCTGAAGTAGCTAGAAGATGAGGTACATGGGGATCTTATAAAGATAGGGAATCTGAAGTAATCTTGTGTACCCTAAACCCTAAACCCCTATTACGTCCTGATTCAGAACAAGGACCCCCTTGCATGAAATGCGGGCTTTAAAGTCCGAGGGGCTTCAAACTAAATTAGTAATCCTAAATCCTAATTGTTTCTGCCACGTAAGGCATAGGGGCCCGTAGATGCATCCACTTTCTCCTACGAGCTACATGAACAGCAAGGCGTAAGATGGCCCTTTCCCAAAGGGTCCATGTAACTATATAGTTTACCTAAACCTGGAAAGTATGTAAAATAATAGCCCTAAACCCCTAATAATAGCCATCAAGGCCATTATTCTACATACTTCTGGGGTCCAGGTATACCATTCCTAGAGGGGCCCTTTTGGGATGTGGGAAGGCTGCTTTTGCTGGCTCCCGCAAAACTGCTTGGAATGAACTCTCAGCAGGTTTGTGTCTTATTGCCAGCCAAGCGACACCCAGCCTGGAAGACTCAACCCTTAATTCCTACCTGGACCCCAAAAGTTTGTAAAAAATAATTGCCTTTATGGCTATAATTGGAGGTTTAGGGCTATTGTTTTACATACTTTTGAGGTTTTAGGTAAAGCCATTCAAAACAAACCTGACGCACCTGCACGGCCCCTCTTCAAGTCCTTGCGTTTAGCGGCAGTTTAGCGTTAATGTTGCCGCTGGTCTTGTTGCCCAAGCCGGGGTCCCCTTTTACACCCCAATCACTTTGGGTAATTATGGTATATTTGAAGGGGAATCTTATCTCACTTAATATTCCCACCGCTTGAAACCTAAATCCTAAACCCTAATCCCGAAACCCTAGACCCTAAATCTTAAACTCTTTACCCTAAATCCTGAAACCTAATTCCTATGTGCTTTGGTTTTGCAAGCTGGAGCTACAATTGCTCCAAACCGCTGCGTGCTGGTTATGGTCTTAGGGCTTTAGGATGGGTGTATTTAAGGTACCCAAACCCCAAAAGTATGTAGAAGTAATGGCCTTCAGGGCTATATTTGGGTGTTTTGGGCTATTTGGAGTTCGAGTATTTACTTAAGGGGAAGTGGGGAAAGGAAAAGGAAGAGAAACTGTTTCATATCATGCAGGTGCAAGGGCTGAGGGTGAAGCGTTTGGGTTCAGGGTTTAAGGTCGGGAGGCATGAAACCTCTCGGACCCCTGAAATTTCTTCCATCTCTCTGCGAGACTCTGAGCTACCAACTGCCATGCTTGGGTAAGACACCTCATCCTTGAATGTTAGGGGTTTTAGGGTTTAGGGTTAATATTAACCCGAAGCAATAAGCATAGTCCTCATGGTTGGCATCCTCCTCACTCACTAACATCAACCCTTCTAACCTTGAATTTCTCCTTAATTTTTTTTTGAGACAAGTCTTCAAATGAGCTATAATCGAAATTCCTAGCATCCCCCTTAGTAACCCCTGCACTATAATCCCCTATATAATCCCTGTTAAGGAGTTT